CTTTGTCCATGGAAGGTCCCTGCAAAATTTCATTGAAATTGGTTCAGGGGTTTTGGAGAAGACGATTTTTGAAATTTTAGTCAATTTGACCCTTTTTGGCCCCGCCCCTCAGGCCCCTGGGGGCTTGGGACTAAACCGGCCACTGTAATTGTTGACCTTTGTCCATGGAAGGTCCCTGCAAAATTTCATTGAAATTTGTTCAGGGGTTTTGGAGAAGAAGATTTTTTAAATTTAAGTCAATTTAACCCTTTTTGGCCCCGCCCCTCAGGCCCCTGGAGGCTTGGGACTAAACCTGCCATTATTTTTGTTGACCTTTGTCCATGAGAGGTCCCTGCAAAATTTCATTGAAATTGGTTAAGGGGTTTTGGAGAAGAAGTCGAAAATGTAAATTGTTTACGGACGCACGACGGACGATGACGGACAAAAGGCGATCGCAATAGGTCACTTGAGACTTTGTCTCAGGTGACCAAAAAAATCGCTGTTTTTCGAATTTTAGAAGGTTCCTTGCCTTTCAAAATGGCTTCCAGCTCCGTGTTGGTGCTAAATGTCAGCATATAGAGCACAATTTGCCTCCAAATGAACATTGTTTATGTAATTTTTTATTTTTTTTACATACAATTGTAGGGTCATAATCACATGACCAAACGGTACACAAAAATTTACATTTTTTTTTTCGACCTACCTACCCTTGTTTTTTTGCCCATGCAACCCTAAACAGACAATGTTTTGTTTTGGCCTAATGCACTGTGGCCTATGGTCGGGTTTGAACTCTCAATTCTGTGAGAGGTTGTTTTGGAGACTCTGTATTAACATGTATCGACAATGACCAAAAGTGACAAAGACCATCTGTACCAACTTGTAACGCCTGAAATTGCAAAATCAATTACAGAAAGATTTAGCATGATCATTTCTAGAGACAAAAACAAAGTTTTACAGATATGACCTAATAACTTACGTACCTGATTAAACGTTGTTAGGCTTTTAACTTTGTATTCACACTGGATGACTTTCTTGAATACTTCCTGCATTTCTGGGTCCATATCTTTGAATTTTGTGTTCATTCCAGCAGGCAAATTCGACTCTGGTCCAGGACTGGCTAGAATTTTCTCAAGAAACAGCTTGCTTGCATCAACGCTGTATGACGTTCGCCACAGATTCTCTGGTACAAGTCTGTTCCTTTGGAGCCATTGCAGTGGTCGAAAAAGTTGTTTTGCAAACATGATATCAACACGGCGTCCTGCTTGTGTTTTATTCAATCCATCAAATCTGTACTGTACCTATAACTGGAAAATCAAACAAACAATAGACATTTTATGTGTAATGTCACTATTTCTCACAAAGAATTATGTTAATGATAACCGTGCGACTTATTTTTAATATTTCAATACAGACGCACTTCATTATCTTGAGCTCTTATAGTTCAAAGAGCCTGTTTAACTTGAAATCAATCTTAAAAGCTTTGAAACATAATTATCAGATGTTATGCTAGGGTAATCAACCTATTCCATGTTTCCAAATTACGTTCTAATTGAGCAGCTTACGTTTGGTCATAATTATTTCCGATTTAACTTATGACAGTAATATAGATGTTTGAGTGTAAGTACACATTGTTCATATTAAGAATCCATGCAAGTTCATCTAAGTTGATTATTTCATTCTGGAAGGCTGTTAAACAATTTGAATGGTATATTGTTTTTTTTTACAGGAGCTTGCATGGTTTTTATAATATTATAGGAACAATATGATAAGCAATGTTAAGTACATCACACGGAGGAGATGTTCGATGTGTCACATTGGTCTTAATGTATCAATGTACACTGCATTGATGATTTGTGTAATGACTTGGGCACTTTCATTTCTGCATAAGAAGCGTGAGGTCAGAGACAGAATGTAGGTTTTAAAGAACATGTAGTAACAGACTTTTTGTAAAAAAAAATAGCATGTGAGCCTTATATATATATATAGCTAATGTAACATTACATAATAATGAATAAATCGATTTTAAATGAATTTATATGATTATCTTTGTTATATTTAATTGACTGTTTATAGATGTTGCCTGTTGGAAAAATCAACAAATCAGATATAGTCTCTACTTGACCAACAAACATTTAATTCTACCTCACTTAACTTGAATTAAGTTTTTCCGGGATCCAATCGACTTCAAGATATCAGGTTCGATCATATATTAATGAACAAGCAAATTCGTGGAATTATCCCAACTTTAAGGACATGTTTGAGATGAAGTGTTATTGTTGAAAGTTACTTGAAACATGATATGCTTGTATGGAGAACTAAAAGCAGACAAAAGAGAAAAAAGTTTCTTAGAAATACATCTTGTAGGACATGTTTCGATTTTTTGTCTTTGGGTGTCTATTGAAATAGAAGGTAAATGTACAAAATGTGGGGAAGTATTGTCAAATATAAAGATGTGGTATATATGTATAAGAAATAACTAACATACATGTAGAAATCAATTACAGGAGAAAAGTTTAGGGTCTCTGAAAACAGTATTTTCCATACGATATGGATCTGTAACAAGAAAGTTATATTCTGTATAAGGGTAATTAATTATGCGTAAATATCCAGATGACATTGACGAGCAAACACAGTCTTAAATATATATAGAAACAAAGTTATATGCAGCATTTAAAATTGGGTTTATGCTGTTTTGCATCCATTTAGCTAATTTGCTTATGTCAGAGACAAAAATTGACATACATTTTTTTTTAAGATGGAGACAAAATTAGGGAGGGGGCTTAATTGCAGGCACCCACCCAGTTCCCAGGACAATTACCAAAGTGGGGAGGGGGCTTATTTGGGGTAAAATACAGTATGTAGAACTATGGGCACACCACATTTTGTTGAAATAGGATATATAATTATCAGCACACTTATTACATGAAAACCAATATACCAATTAAATGCAAGGATCACATTGACCAGCAAAATTAGTCTTAAACATGTTAATATATATACTGCAAATCAAATTTTGTTGAAATAGGACCATTATTAGAACACTTATTGCACAGAAACCAATTAGCTAATCAGAATGTATACGCGTAATTAATTGTGCCTAAATATGCAAGGATCACTTTGACAAGTAAATCAAAGTCTTAAACATTTTAATATGTATGTGCACACCAAATTTTGTTGAAATCGGACCAGTGTTAGCATAGTTATTGTATGGAAACTGAAACATGGCGGACGCATGGGCCCATTATAAATTAACATATCCTCCGATTTCCTTCGAAATGTGAGGGATAAAAATAAAGGATACTTGATCAACACCACAAGAACTGTTTGCGGTCTTTCCTTCTCGTCTACATGTTTCAACCATAGCAGGCATGCATCATCAGGACAAAGAATAAATTGTTGATAGTGTCTTTGGTAGTTCTTGAGGTGTTGAGTAAAATTCCTTTATTTTTCATTATGATCTATTAGTAAGAAGATCTAGTGAACTTATGCCCACAGATCTGCCCAATAACACTACCGCTATTTTCCACATTAGAAGTGTTGGTTGCCATGTTTATTCAATTAATATTTCAATAGTAATTGCAAATTAAATGACGTACCTGTAACAAAAAGCATTCGTGAAACCTCTCAATGTCCGGAGTTTTATGTTTCATCAAGAAATCACAGAGGTATCTTGATGGCAGATGCTAACATTATAATAAGATCTTTATTAATTTAATGACTTATATCCCCAAACAAACTATAGCGTTTGATTTAAATAAAAGGCCTGATTGGCCTGTAGTGCTCACCTGGTAGTATTACACTTTTAACTTTAAAAACGGACTAAAATAAACCTACATACCCTGAATGAACCCATATTATACACACTGAAGTCAATGGAAAACAACGTCAGTGATATATTGTCTGTCATTTTCACAAAAAGTTGGACATCAGAATTGATTACTTATTTGTGTACAAATGTACTCCCTATTTAGAAAGTTATTGGATTTTGTTGAGAGAATAATGCGGTTTTTAATCTCAGTGTTAAAAAGAACTTTTGTGTGTTTTTATTTCACTTAGTTTCCTATTTCAGTAATACAATTCTTAAAAGGTCTAAGGTATTAGATAGGTACATTTATACCTACTGTATACAGTAACATATCCTATGGTCCCAGCGCACACAACTTACATATTTCCATGACAGAACATGCCCGTATTTTTCATTTTAAATTTTCACTTACTGCAACTTTCTCCAAACAATCAATCACAGGTAGGTCTACTAGCCTGGTCTGTCAACACCCATAATATAAAACCTTTTTTTTTAGCCGCATGGGTTTGATCCTTAAACACTTTGTTCGTATCGGGTGCTTTCCCATGCGTGAAAGCCTTCTGAGAAATTGAGGCCACATACGATTTACAAAACCCCCCAGTAAACCCTATGATATCCGTATTTATAACATCCTAACAGTGAAATATCATGAATACTCCGTTTGAAAAATCTTTTATTTTCACTGCAGGCATGTCAAATACGAATGTATATATTTTATCAACAAAAAGAGGCGGTCCAGAAATCTTCTAAACAAGATAATATTTTCCGTTTTCAGTCTGGATCCATACGGTTATAAATTGTTGATGACCTTCATAATGATGTTCACTCAGGTGGAACATTTTTAATGATTCAAAACTGAGGACTCATTTTGACAGACAGAATTTGGTGATAATAAGAGCAGATTTGGATCAATAAATAATCCATTTATCGATATAATTATGTGAGGTATGTGTGGTGTCATAGTAGGTGTTTGTTGTCAGCTGTACTCATAACTCTAGATTACAATTGATGTCGGAGAATTCCACATTTTCATAGAGTAGTGCGATCTGGCCCCACACCAGACATCTATACGGTCCCACACCAGACATCTATCTGTTTAAATGTCTGGTGTCAGGGACAGAGGAAACTCGGGCTAAGTGACAATAGTGCAACGTGTGTGGTTTAATTGAGCGCGAACAGAGAATTCTGAACGATAAAGGTAATGCCATTAATATTCAAAGAATAAATCCAGGTGTGCAGGATTATAGACTGCTCCCCGATGGTTTTTGGACTGTCAGTAACGGATTTTTATTAAAAGACCTCAGGTGTCCAGCAGCTAGCTTTGCTGCTTAAGCCTGAGTTTCCTCTTTTTGTTGACTATAGTCATTCCCCGATACCAAACGGTGTCGGAGAATTCCACGTTTTGATATAGCAGTGCGCTTTGGCCCCACATTAGACATCTATCTGTCAAAATGTCAGTCTGGTTTCGGGGCCAGAGGAAACTCGGGCTACTTTGCTGCATTTCGTATTTATATTATGAGTGTACGTGTACGCTTAAGTTATCATATCATTCGCTATGTATCTGGCAGTGGCGGATCCGAAGTTTTTTTGGGGGCTTCAAGACCCCCCCGCCCACTCCCCCCGCCTGAGAATTTTCACCATTTTCCTCAATTTTCTCCACATGGAAACCCCCACTGGAATTTTTGAAAATCCCCTAGATAGGTCTCTGGATCCGCCACTGTAGACTGGTCCAGTCTTAAATTCATACTTACAACAGCACCTAGATCATATATATACACACGTGGGTAGACGGTAGCACGGCTAACTCGAAAACCTCAGTTTCGTATTTTTTAACCGGAAATGGGGAATGTGAAAGTGAAAATAGAGATTGGCTGTAGCGGTACTAACTTCATTTCATTTAAGAAAGGTTAAGAAATCGAAGGTAGATTGGGGTAAGTGGTAGGGAAAGGGTTACATAGACGAAAGAATAATATTACTGTCGGTACGTTTTAATCATTAAAATGTTTTTACACAATGAATCTTGATTGTCTCCCTTATTTGACGGTAATTTGATAAAATTGTATTAATTGCGCGTTCAACCACAGGTGCTCGGGTTCTGGAATATATGGGATATATTTAGGTATCGAACATCACTGTGATAATAAGTAATTGATTGGGTTCTAGAATATATATAACATTCAGTGGCGGATCCAGAGGTTTTTTTTGGGCTTCAGGACCCCCCCACCCCCCCACCCTGAGAATTTTCTTTAAAAATCATGTATTTTCACCA